CAAGCTCTCTCGGAGCTGTTCTCCCACGGGCAGTTCCTCGCAGCGCTTTCTCAGCCCCGCCTACCTCACAGGGTGACTGTTGTGGGGAAAGGAGAGGAAGGCGATTGAAAGCTGCCTTGAGACACATAAGACACCTTGGGACAGTCTGTTGTGGGGACAGGAAGGGAAGGAGAGCCAGTTTGGGTTCGACCCCCCCGCTCCTCCTCCACGTGCAGCTGCTGGGGTGATCTTGGGCCAGTCACAAGCTCTCTCGGAGCTGTTCTCTCAGCGCTTTCTCAGCCCCGCCTACCTCGCAGGGTGTCTGTGGGGAAGGCGGCTGAAAGCTGCTTGGAGACACATCAGACACCTTGGGCTAATATGTTGTGGGGACAGGAAGGGAAGAAGAGCCAGTTTGGCGTAGTGGGTTGAGAGCGGCGGACTCTGGTCTGGGAGGGCCGGGCTCGATTCCCCCGCTCCTCCTCCACATGCAGCTGCTGGTGTGACCTTGGGTCAGCCCCAGTTCTCTCAGAGCTGTTCTCTCAAGGGCAGTCCTCCAAAGAGCTCTCTCAGCCCCGCCTACCTCACAGGGTGTCTGTTGTGGGGAGGGGGAAGGGGAAGGAGTTTGTAAGCCGCTCTGAGACTCCCTTGGGTGGTGAAGGGCCATGGGGCATAAATCCAATCTCCTCTTCTTCTTCGAGGGTATCTGTGGGGTGGCCCCAGGTGAGATTGTGAGGCTCAGTCCAGGGTAAAAGCATCTGTGGGGTGCCTGCTAACATCTAACCGGAAGCATACCTGGTGTAAGGTGGTGTTCCTTACCTGCCATCCTGTTTTACTGAGCTGGTTTCTTTGGCCACCCAATGAGAAGGGAGCACTCACTGGAGAAGGCCCTGATGCCGGGAAAGACTGAAGGTCAAAGAAGGAGGGGGACGGCAAAGGATGAGATGATTAGACAGTGTTATCCATGCAACAAACATAAAATTAAGCAATTTACTTACCTTCGGGTAGTGAAGGGCAGGTTATAAATCCAATCTCCTCCTCCTCCTCCTCCTCCTACTCCTCACGCTGCCACACACGCACTTGCTAAAGGATGAGATGATTAGACAGTGTTATCCATGCAACAAACATAAAATTAAGCAATTTACTTACCTTCGGGTAGTGAAGGGCAGGTTATAAATCCAATCTCCTCCTCCTCCTCCTCCTCCTC